TAGGTCATTAATAATCTTAGAGTAATTTGAGTTGAATGATGAAGTTGAAAGCCAGGTAAAGGGAGTTAAGAAGTGACTGGGATATGAGACAGTAGAGACTAGTATGGATTTTCTAGTAATGGTATAGAATCTTCTTTGAATGCATACATATGCTGAGCATGATTGAATATGGGAGTATTGGAAGTGAAAGTGGAAGTCTGTGAAGAACAGCAAGAAAAGAGGTTTTCTATGAAGGAAGCTAAGAAGGGAAGTACCCTTCAGTAGATGGTGCTGATGATTGGCATACTAATAATCCCTGGTGTTGACTTATATCATTGGAATTATTCTTGAGTAATAGTTGTCCTGGGTAATATTGAGATCCCCTTCCATGCCTCTTTTAGTGTACCCCTGAAAAGGGAAGGTTGTAGAGGTACTCTGATGAATTTCTACTGTTCTACTTGCTTTTCTTTTACACGGAATTTTTTTTTTTTTTAGGTAAAGGAAGCATTAGGAAGTCATAAGAGGGCCTACTACTGCTAAACATGAGGGACTGAGAATGTTGTTTTACTGACAGAATAATTCACACCTTCTAAAAGTTCTTTCCATAGTTTTTGTTATTTCTTCATGCTTTTATGTAATTTTTATGGACATTTGTTTTAGAATTCTGAACAAGTAGTATTCCTAGTGGTAGAGAATATCTTTAATAATAAATTAACAAGTGTGTATTTGTTTAGAAACAAGAGTGTCATGTTTATTGATAGTAAGGCAGGTATAGAATTCACAAGTGTCTCATACAGTTTTAGGTATTGGTGAAGCAATTATCTCAAAAGTGAACAAATTATAGGGGGAAAATTTGTTCATTAACTTGATTACTAATCGGTTTCCAGTAAGTAAGATATTCAGAGAAAGTTATCTTCAGAGGTATAGTTTTTAGCAAAAAACCGTTTTCTTTATTTTGTTGTTTAAGTGCAAACACTGAATCTGAAATTAGAAAGTTTATTTGTTTATAGTTCATTTCTTATTAATTATAAACATTAGTATAAACAAGTATATTTCTTACAGATATCTCAGTTTATTTCCTCACATGGGTATAGCTGCCAGCTTAATGCTTTGACACCATTTATTTTTTGTAGTTTGTAATTGCTTAGTTTCCTTTAGTGGGTTTATTGTTATGGGAGAGTGAGGTAGTTTATTATTAGAGGCAACTGTTGATGCAGTGAATAGAGCACTGGGCTTGGAATCAGGAAAATCTGAGTTCAAATTGAGTCTCAGATAATTACTAGCAGTGTGACCCTGGGCAGGTCACTTTAACCCGTATCTCAGTTTCCTCAGCTATAAAATTGAAATAATAATAGCACCTACCTTGTAGAGTTGTTGAGGATCAATTAAGATAATATTTGTAAAAAGCATTCAGCACAGTGCCTAACACGTAGTAGGTTATATATAAATGCTTATTCCATTCTCTTCCATCCACCTATTTATGTATTTGCCTGTGATTATGTCTTTATACACACTTCTTTATGTGTATCAACACTAAGCACAATGAGAGCTTGTATTTTCTTCAGGATTCATTCAGTTTTCTGAGAGTAAAGATGTGCTCTGTGGTGGAGTGTCACTCACAAAAGGCTGCCTGTTTATTCTGCTACGATCCCCAGAAATATCCTTCCATGGATAGATTATTTTTCTTAAAATTGCATGTAGATAGGAAGGAAATGATATGGGTTGGTAGCTGTTAGTGTTCTTTTGATAGATTTTATTGGGTAATAATATTATCTGAGGTTTTCCCTGTATCTTTAGTATCTTCCTCTTCTCCTTATTTCTTTACAGTCGTTTCCTTAACACCTCAGTTAATCACAAGTATTCATTAAGCTTTTACTCTACGTTAGGTACTATGCTAGGAGCTAGAGATATAATATAATGTAAAAAAAAAATAGTCCCTGCCCTTGGGTGGCATACTTTTTATCAGGGGAGACCACACGAAATAGATCAAAGTATACATAAAATGTACCAAATAATTAATGGAGTTGCCTCCAGCACTGTCTCTACTGGTCTAGTTCAGTTGCTTTTCCCATTTTGTTTTCTTGGTGCCATTTCCACTTGTCTCAAGAAGCATACTTGACTTGGTAGTGCAAAATACCACCTCAGAGACCTTCTGGCAGTAAAATAGGGAGGTGAATGATCACTATAGTTTTTCTCTTCCGTTACACAGGCTTAAGTCAAAGATGGATTCCCTGTAGCTGGTGAAGCCCTCCAGGTGTTCTGATTTTTGGGTGACATTGTGCTGATTGCATCAAGCCAGGATATCATAGAACTTCCTGGACAATCCATAACCTAGTTGTTCTAACTATCCACAGACTACAAAGTAAAGAAAAATTGATCATTATCTAAATCCGTTGGTTCCAAAGTTTTGTGGTTGTGCAACCCAATTAGTAAAAGGAAGTTTTAGCATCCACCCCCACTATAAGTATATTAACTTAATTATTAATTGTAGATATGTTCTATTACACTAGTAATTATTTGAGTTATGAAATTTACACAAAAAATAGACATTGAAAGGAGTGAGATGGATTAACCAGTATTTGGTGCAGTGGAAAGAACACCATTTGGAGTTACAGGACCTGGGTTCAGATTCTGCCTGTGACATATACTATATATATGACTTTAGGTAAGTCACTTAGTCTCACTGGGCTTAAGTTTCCTCATCTATAAAATGAGGAGACTAGATGACTTCTACAGCACCTTCTAGCTCCAGATCTATGGTCCTAAATTTATCAAATAGGAGAAATGCATAGTCAGATTTGTACTTTAGGAAGATGATTTTCGCAGCTTTGTGATGATGGATCAGAATAGGGAGAAACTTGAGGCAAGGAGACCACTTAGAAAAGCTGTTGCAGTAGTTGAAGCAAGAGTGATACAGGTCTGATCTAGGGTGGTGGCTGTGTGAGTAAAGACTGGCTGTGTGGCATGAGAGTGAATGGGGCAGCCAGGTGGCAAAATGGATAGAGTATTCATATTGCTGAGTTCAGATCTGGCTTTAGACACTTAGTAGCTGTGTGACCCTGGGAAAATCACTCAGCTGGTTCAGTTTGTCTCAATTTCCTCATATGTAAAATGAGCTAGAAAAGGAAATGGCAAACCACTACAATATCTTTGCCAAGAAAACCCCAAATGGCGTCACAAAGAGTTGGACACAACTGAAAAGTGTGGCATCAGAGTAAAACGACATGTGACATCAGAATGAAAAGATAGTATATGACAGTCTTAGTAGTAGCTCTTTTGGCAGAAATAGGGAAGTTTAGAGAGAAAAGTGAACTATATATGAGATCTTATCATAGCCCATCCATGTCTAGTCATTCTGTGTGAATCTCTGTCCATATGCCATATGAAGTATTCTCTTATGATTACCCCCAGAATACAGAGTCCACCTTTCCAAGGAATGCCTGCTGCTGCACTTACAAGGTGATGTAGGCAAGGTGTGGGACAATGGGAGGAGAATTTTGCCTGCACGATGACTTTTATGGGTGCTGGTAGTGGGGTTAGGTGATAAACACCCTGAAAGGACTACACAAATGTAGAAACCTGAGGGAAAGCAAAGTGAGTGTGGTTATGTTGGAGGCAGTTGGCTGTTGGAGGGAGGAGAGGTGGGATGTGTCTCTTTTTTTCTCTGCTCTCTAATTGGTTGATTACAAACCACTTGGGGTCATGCCAAAGGCTCTCTACTTTGGAAATTACTGCTTTGTGATATGGAATTGGGTGGACAATTTACAGAGCTCATCCATCAAAAATATATCTTGGAAAGACTACAAAAAAAATAGTGATTTGGAGCCTAGAATTAAACAAGAGGAGGAGAGTGAGTTGAATTGCTTTTAGAGTGCTATAGATTGCAAAGAATTAAAAGGCCCACACAGAGAATAATGAAGATTCCCATATTGGGTAAGAGTAGGTTGTAACACTTTACAAATCCAAGAGAAGAGTATAAAGGCTGTCAGAGAGATGTGTGCCTGAAAAAAGATAGAACAGAGTGGCAAGAGTATGCTTCATGTTCTCCATTGATATTAATATTCATGTGACATAAAGAGAACCAAAGGAAAGCCCCCAGTACATTTGGTCAACCCTTGTAGTGACCCTTTTTGAGGACATGGATGGAAGTTTCACAGGGTGAGCAAGCAAGAATGGGTTGCTGTCTACATCACTGAAAGGAATGCTCATATTGATAAGATCACAAATCCATTGGAGTATATATTTGCTAAGATATGTAGACAGGTAGGTAAGTGTGTATCTGCATACCTTGCATGTGATTTAGTCATTGACGTTATTGGCGTTTCTGCTAATTAAAAAATGATGTGGGTGACAGTTTCTGTCTCCAGTTGTGTTTTAGAGTAGAATCCTATGAATCAGGAATTTAAGACATAATTTTTTTAAATTACCAATTAACAAATATGACTTCAAAAATTGCTTAATATTTTTCCCTCAATTTTTATAACTTGACACCAACACCTAGCTCAATTTATTAGTGAGACTCTTGGGAGGCACTTTAAATCTTGAATGAAAGGATTTTCTATCAGGTATTTGATGATAGCAACCTTTTGATGTAATTAAATATTGTTAGCACTGGCAGCTTATTTTGAAGGTAATAGAATGTTCAATTTGCACATGTACTTTTAATTTGACTTGCCTAAGTGTTTGATTTGACAGTAATCAAGATAAATGTAGTATTTCTGTTGTAGGTTCCACTGGGGAGAAGGGAGGGAGGAAAGGAGGGAGGAGAGAGAGAGAGAGGGAGAGCGCGCTTTCGAGTGTGCTCAAGTGTGTGTATGTGGGTGTGTGTGTAGGTCATACAGCACCCTATGTATGTTATAGTAAAGGACTATGAGGACAAAACTTGGACCTGTACCAGTAGTCTTTTCATATCTAAACAATACCTTCTTTTCTGTCACATACTGTAAATCAAACTGTTCTATAGTTGACCCCACTATGAGAGCAGAAAGACAAAGGTAACTTAAAAATTAATTTCTCCACAGATAGAAAAAGGAAAGAGGAGATGCCAGAAAGTCTTCATCAGCCATCATCTGGATACAACTTACTATTATCCGCAGATTCCTCTCCCCAACCCAGTACCCTTAATTATTTTGGTTTGACAGAAGCTTCAAAGGTAAGTAAAACTGGCAAATGCTTAGTTGATTTTCTTGTAAGGTCAGGAGAACAAGTGAGCATTAGTTTTAGTTGTATTGGTGAAAAGAAAAGCAAAACTATTCAGAAATCACTTACATTCTCATAAAAGTTCTGATATATAAACTAATGTTTCAGACTTTTATGGGATCAGGGTCTATTTTTGAAGTTGGTTATCTTAGAGGAATTATCTAACTTTGTTGCTTTTTAAATTACAGGAGACAACAATGGAGAAAATAGAAAGGATAAAAAAAATGTAAGTAATAGAAAAGGGCAGCAAGAATTCATTTCTCTGTAGGGAATTATATTGGACTAAGGTACCTATAGAATGTGCATATGTGTTCCAAACCAAAGGTCTTGCAATCAGGTGTGGAATTTCCTCAGGACTCTAGAGGATAATAAATCCACCTTCAGTTATATGTTTGTGGGATGAGTCATTGTTTGGGTTTCTAACTAGTAATATAAAGGGTTGTTAATGGAATTAACTGGAGATTAAAAAGTCCAGTTTGAGTTGATGGTAGTAAGAGCATTATCTATCATTTCATTAACAAAACAATATTTGTGGTCAGCTGTTTTTAAATGGCTTGTTATTTTAATATTGTAAAAATGTCGAGTGAAAGAAGTCCTCTTATTATGAAAATCATTTCTATTGCTTATGTCATAGATTATAAACATTTTATGGAAGAAAGAATTGTAATTAACTCTTCATTTTCTTTGCGTAGCCTGGTCTTAGCTCCTTTTTTTATTAATAATACCTGCCTTCTCCTATAAGTATTAAAAAACTGTTTTAGGGTTTAGAAAATTTTAATTTCTTAAATAGCCCATTTTGTTGTAATAATTTTAAAAATATTTTTAGGTTTCAAGAAACAGCTGACTTGTTGAAGTATTCGAATAACGCATCTTAGAAATATCTCCCTGGACTTCTGAGACTCGACACTGAACATTTTCTTTAAGTTTTACTTGTAACAGCTTTAAATATATATTGATGTTGCTACATTGAGAATTCCATTTGGTGTATTTATTATTGAAGAAATAATTTAATTCTTTTGAGCTGTAATTGCACTACTTTACTGTGTTTGAGCTTTTTGTGAGGAAAATATTCCTGTTGTTACAGTAGATTTCTTTTGCAGAGTGAAGTCATTACAGCAGTGTATCTTTGTGTTGACATTTGTTGGCAGTGTGCTAAGTAATATGTTTTCTAAAGCGCAGGCTTGAGGACCACAGTTTACATCCTGTTGGAAACTCTCCAGCGGGGACTTTCATATTGCACCCAGGAGATTTACATGCATACCATTTTGCCATCTGTGTAGTCAAATAAGTTGCAATGAAAAGTTAAATATACACATTAAGAATGAAAATGTTTTTATTTTTAAAAAACTTTTTTTTTCAACTTAGAAAAGTAGTGATGCATTAGATTTTCAATTAACATTGAAAAAGTAGAGGTCAGTGTGATCCTGTATTTCTGTATTTGTGTGTAGGTCTGAAGTCTTACTGTGAAAAAGGTGTTGAGTGTTTTAGTGTCATATTCAGTAACACGTTTTAAGACCAGCGACACAGATGGGGACCGTCCAGAGTTACAAAAATGCGCAAGCAGGATTTTGGGTTTTGTTCTTTTTTTCGGGGTGGGGAGGGGGAACATTGTGATTTGAAGTTATAGATTTCTTTGTAGATGTGGATGATTTTGAGGGAAGGTCTACATGAACTTGAGTCAAGACAAAAAATACAATTTAAAAATGTCTCAGTTTTAAAAAATCATAACACAGGTTTGCTCTGAACAGGTTTCAAGAGAAGACAGCTTCTTTATTATGAAGGGGGAGAATAACTTTTTCCTTTGATTTTCTTTTCCCAAAATGTATATGATTAAGAATTTTAATTTATAACTTGAAATGTTTTGTATGGCACTAAAGTCAAATAAAAGTGTGAACTTAAAGCATTATACTGGTGTGATTTTTTTTTAATGAGCTTACAAATTCTTAAAGTTTGAAATTATAGCAGCTGTTCACATTTATAAAGGAGTATAAAGTTAAAAAATTCTTTCCTCACAACAGCCTTATGAGTTATAAGCAATACAGATAGTTGGTTTTAATAGTATTAATTGTTCATTATTGTATTCTTCTAATCTAAAGAAGAATTATAGTTGAAAAAGTGGCAAATATCAGTAATTGAACAAAACTTGTGGGCTGACTTTTAAATTGCCTCTACAATGGAATTATAGCACCACCTTGTGGTTCCTCTCTCTTTTACACATTAGTGCAAACCATTAATGTTCTATAGCGTCTAAGAACATGAAAAGACAAGGCTCTGAATGACTTTACTTAGGTTGCCGTTTGGTCGTGGTGGTAGTGGTGGTGGTTGAAAAGGATAATTAGAAAGCTGGCACTTTTTTTTAACCCTACACACAACATAATTAAGTGACCAGAATTTTATGAATACAGTATTGAATATTGTATATGAAGTTTTGACTTTAGCTATAACATTATCAAATGTGCCCTCCCATACATACATAACACTTTCCATAACAAATTTGTACATAAAGGGCACGTAACACAACATTTTGCAATTGGAATAAATCTTTAAGTATACCAAGAGAAATCATTACTTAAGGGAAGTCTTTGTCTTCTGGCACAATTTTATAATCATGAATTACTTAGATAATGTGAATGGTTACTTGTTAATAAAATTCTGGGATTACTAGGATGAATGGGTCCTCCCTTCAAGCTTGAAGGAAAAAACTTATCAAAATAAAAGCCATTACTGCTTCAAAAAACAAACACTTGGCATAAATTGTTAAAAACTGGGTTTGTTCTAAATTAGAAGATTGAGACAGTGATAAAACAGATCATTTATGTTACATGAAATTGAAAAGCTTTTGCTCTAACAAAGTCCATTCAACTTAGGTAAAGAAGGCAGCAATAGATGAAGGGGAAAAAAAATCTTTACCTTAAATATGTCTGATAAGGACATGATATCCGAAATGTATATTGGAAACTAATAAGTATGAGTAAGACTAGGATCCATTCTACCATGGACAAGTTAATAAAGAATATGAACAAGCATCCAAAGAATTGTAAACTGTTAACCATATGAAAAACTGTTCTAAATCACTAGTAAGAGAAATTCAAGTCAAAACAACTGAAGTTTCATTTCACACCCAGCAGATTAAAAGATGACAAAGGTAGAAATGATTTTGAGAGAGTTTGCAGAAAGATAGGTACATCTAAGAAATCAATGAAAGGGAAAATTTTTGTGAAGCCTGATACAGAGTCAAGTGAGTGGAAGGAAGGAAATGGTTTAGTGACTTACCCAAAGTCACAAAACAGTGTCGAAGGCCAAATTTGAATTCAAGTATTCCTCACTCCAAACTCAGCATTGTATATACTATGCCACCTACTGGAGTCAGAACCAGGAAAAACACTTTATGTAACACCACCACAATTTTGAAAGACTTAAAAAATTAGATTTAAATTTTAAAAATTAAAATTCAAAAATCAATAATGAACAGAAGGGCACACTAATACTGTTGGTATCCTTGATGTTAATGGAGTTGTGAATTTGTCTAACTAGTATGTAAAGCATTTTGAAATTATATTAAGACAGGGGCAGCTAGGTGGTGCAGTGGATAGAGCACCAGCCCTGAAGTCAGGAGGACCTGAGTTCAAATCTGACCTCAGACCAAACACTTGACACTTACTAGCTGTGTGACCCTAGGCAAGTCACTTAACCCCAATTGCCTAAAAAACAAAAAAAAAAAAAGAAAAGAAAAAGGTTATATTAAGAGAGTGACTAAAATGTCCACACTTTTTGACCTTGGGATTCTTTGCAAGACATGCCCCAGTGTGGTCAAAGGCAGAAAGGTCACTTTATAGTCTTCAGAGAATCATTTTTGTTGTAACAAAAGAACTTGTGTCACAGTAGACACCTGTTGATTGGGAAATGGATAAACAAATTATGTTGTCCATGAAAATAACAATGCATCATAAGAAATTAATGAGTATGGCCTACTGCATAGAGAGTCAGGAATCCGTCAGTTCATGTCCTTCTGACATATACTAGCCACTTAACCCTGGGACGAGTCTCAACCTCTCAGTTACATGGTCAATTCTCTTAGAAACATTTTTTTTTCAATTAAGCTTTAATAGTGTGTCTTTCCCACCATTCTGTCCCCATATTTGAAAAAGAAAAAAACATAGCAAATAAGCATGGTCAAAAATTCCTTCATTAAAAAACGATCTCAGGATGCATCTTTATACCACAGGAGGTGGGTAGGGTTCTTCGTTAGTCATTTGGCTTCATAATTGGTCGTTTCATTGCTCAGAGTTAAGTCTTTCAAAGTTTCTTTAAATTTTTCCTGAATAGCTTGTTCCCCTGATTCCACTTGCCTCACTCAGCAGTTTGTTCATAAAGGTCTTTACAAGTTTCTCTAAACTAGTCTCTTTTTGTAATTTCTTGAAACTAAGTTGCAGAGTGGGTGGGGTATCCAGTTGTATTGGTAGAGAAAGTTCCTCACCAGGAGCACCCATAAGCTAGTGAAATCTCAGGTGCAGCCCCTCTTCCGCCCAAAAAAATAAAAACCCAAACCAATAAGAAAAGTATGGGAAGACTTCTGATCTGATATTGAGTGAAGGAAAGAGAACCAGGGTAGCAATTATACAAAAATGACAATAATGTCATGAGAAACAACAAAACAATACCATTGTCATGATCAAGCTTGTCCCCAAAGGAAAGATGGGAAAATTCACCTCCTTTGCAGAGTTTAGAGACTAGGTAGAGAACATTGAATACTGTTCTCAGTTGAGTTGGTAAATTTTTCTTTCTTTGGGGGATTAGGGGAAGTTCTACACAGGAGAGCAAGCAAGGGGGAAAAAAAAGATATTTGGAAATGAAAGTGATATGAAAGCAAAAGATAGCCTTAGAATTCTAAATAAAGTTCAGATAGGCTTAAAGTTAGAAATTAAAAATACCTTTAGACAAATTCATTGGCAGTCTGTTAAGAAAAGTAACACGACCAGTTGGGTATTGTAGAAGGCATTCTTTTTCAAAGATATATTGGATTAGCCAGCCACTGAGGCCCCTTCCAATTCTTGACATTTTGTTATTTGAAGGACAGAACCTAAAAGGAAGGAAGGTTAATTCAGAAGAGAACTCTCTTCCAGATGTCTTGTCATTGCAAGGGGGATAAAATAAGTGTGGCTAACTGGATATGAGAGAATTCTTATTTTCAGTTTTTCCATAAAATAAATTATTCCTTTGTGATGAAAATCATCCCACAATCATTCATTATGTTTCAGATTTGTTATTTTGTTGTTGTTGTTATTTATTGTCCCATCTGTGGGGGTGGGGGAAGAGGGAAAGGATCGCTGCCTCAACTATGAGTCCAGAGGACTAAAGATGAATTGTGTCACCCTTCTCCTACTGGAGAGGTAAAAGACTTAAATCTAGGATTGAGACATTCATTTTTGGACGTTAACAGTGTGTTTTCTGGACTATGAGTGTTACGAGAATTTTTTGTTTTGTTTTAATTAAGTTGGGGAAGTAGTCTAGGAAAGGAGAGAAAATAATTAAAAAAATTAAAAGCTAAAAAAAGATTAAATTAATTTTAAAAATTAGTCAGTTGTTACCTTTTGATTGACCTGTAGATTTTAACTTATGGAATCCTTAACAGGAAGACCACCAAAGGCCATGTGACTTAACTCTTACTTAGATGGAATTTTTGAAGTAGATTGAACTTATTAAGATGGATGAAAAAACTTTTACCATAGTAATAAAGCAGCAGCAACTTTCTGCTCCATCAGTACTATACTCTGGGGAAATTAGGTGAAATGTAATCTAGTTACATTCAGTGATAGATTTAGAGAGAATAGTTACCTCAAGTTAGATAATATGATATTTATAAAAAAACAGTTATTACTGAAGTAAAAAAAAACCCATATGCCATTCAGATCATGTATATGTTGTGCCGTTTACTCCAGCATTTTAATATACTCATTTTTAAAATGACAGGCAGGTTTTAGGACCATTTTGTTTAATGTCCTTCCTCATAGTGTCCCTCACGTGGTTGACAAGCACTTGGGGAAGCATTAAAGAGAACCTTGTCAACTTTACAAACTACCCCACTTCTTGAGCTCAGATAACATAGGTTTAATTTTTACTTTTTAGTGGTCCCTAGGCTTGTCTATCTCAGTTCTTTAAAACTGAGATGTACAAAAGGAGGTGTGTAAAGCTTTTGGGATTTTTTTTAGCTTTAAATTTATTAAACTACAAAATGAAAATTTTCAGTGCCACTTGTGCCTTAAACATGTTTTTAGTGAAAATGACAAGCTTCTTTGACTGCTAACACTTGTCAAGTGTGAAGGAAGCTGGGAAAGAAGGACATCTTTAAGTAGGAACAACCTAAAAAAAGGTCTAATTGCTTTAGAAATTTGGGGAACAGTTATTCCTTACTAATTTGTTTGGGAAATGTACTTTTAAGGGACTAAGGGTAAATGGGGGAGCATCCTGTCTATCATAGGCCACTGACCACAGGGGAAAGAAAAACAAAAAACTCCAACCAGAGGGCCATAAACATTTTTTTAAAGAGAAATATAATCTGATCGAACCAACTTTTAAAAATTGAGAACAGAGAATATAAAATGTTAAGTGCAAAAAAAAAAAGTGTACCTCTACACACAGAGGACTTGATCTCAGCTTTGTGGAGAATTCTAAGGGAGTCCCTCTGCCTAACCAAATAGCCAACCTCTCAGCATCTTGCTGTCTCAGAGGCTTTCCTGAGGCACTGAAAGGTTTAAATGATTACCCAGGATCACACAGTATGCTCCAGAAGCCTGGATTGAAGTTTAGTCTTATTGACTGAGAGTTCTATTCACTCCATGCAAATACATTTAAGTTGCTGTAGATATTTCTGTACGTAGGTGCACCCAAACCCAAATAATGTAGGTT